ATATCCAATAGAACTATCCTTTCAAAAGGAAGGAAAATTAAGACAGTGACAGATAAAAACAGAATTCACTGCTAGTAAATCTGTCCTACAAGACACAATAATGGGAATCATTCAGGCTGAACTGAAAGGACACTAGAAATTAATTCAAATCTATATAAAGGAAAAGAGCACTTATGAAGTTAACTACATAGGTACATATAAAAGACAGTTTAGCCCTGGCCGGTTTGGCTCAGCAGTTAGAGCATCAGCCTGCATACCAAAGGGTTGCAAATTCAATTCCCAGTCAAGGGCACATACCTGGGTTACAGGCTCAATCCCTGGCTCTGGTTGGGGTCATGCAGGAGGCAACCAATCGGTGTGTGTCTCTCACATCAATGTCTGTCTGTCTGTCTGTCTCTCTCCCCCCCCCCCCATTCCTAAAAACAATGGAGAAATATCCTTGCATGAGGATTAATTAAAAAAAGACAGTATAAATGTATTTTGCTTATATCTTATTGTTAAGATGGCAGTATTACCCAAATTGATCTACATATTCATAAAAATCCCCATCAGAATCTCAGGTATCCTTTTGGGAGAAATTAACAAACTAATCCTAAAACACATATGGAAATGCAAAGCACCTCTAATAACCAAAGCAATGTTGAAAGAGAACTCACACCCCTGATTTCAACGCTTACTATGTAACTATAGTAATCATATACAGTGTGGTACTAACAAAGATAGGCAGGTATAAATGGAATAGAGTTGTGGGCATAGAAATAAACCATAAATTTACAGTAAAATAATTTTAAACAAGGGTGCCAAGACCTTTCAATGTTGAAAAAATAGTCTTTTCTACAAATAATACTGGGAAAACTGGATAGCCACATGTAAAAGAATAAAGTTGAACTACTTCCTCGTGCTGTATACAAAAATTAACTCAAAATGGACTAAAGTCTAAATACAAGAACTAAAACTATAAGTCTTAAGAAAGCACAGGCGTAAATCTTTGTAACCTTGGGTTAGGCAATGGCTTTTTATACCTGATACCAACAGCACAAGCAACTAAAGGAAAAAAAATAGGTAAATGGGATTTCATCGAAATTAAAAACTTTTTGGCTTCAAAGGATAGTTAAGAAAATGAAAAGACAATACACATATAGGAAATGTTTTTGCAAATCATGTATCTGAAAAGGGAGTTATACCCACAATATACAGATCAACAATAAAAAGACAACCTGATGTTACAAATAGACAAAAAATTTGAATACACATTTCTCCATAGCAGATAGACAAATGTCTAATGCTTGCACATGAAAAGATGCTCAACATCATTTGTCATTTGCTTTGGCAAATAAAAATCACAGTCAGATAAGACTTTACACCCACTAGGATGCCTAAAATAAAAAGCCAATAGTAAGTGTTGACAAGGATGTGGAGAAATTGGAACCCTAATATGATGTTGATAGATATATGAAATAGTGTAGCCACTTGCAAAAACAGTTTGGCAATTTCTCAAAATGTTAAACACAGATTTACCCTATTGACCCAGCAATTCTGCTCTTAGGTTTTAACCGAAGAACAATGAAAACATGTTCACAGAAAAATGTATATACAAGTGTTTATAGCAGCATTATTCATAAGAACCAATAAATAGATACAGGGTAAATGTCTATCAACTGATGAGTAGATAAACAAAATGTGGTATATTTATACAATAGATTATTTGGCAATAGAAAGTACTGATATGTACTTTAGTATGAATGCACTTTGAAAACATTGTGCCAACTCAAAGAAGCCGATCACAAAAGATCACATTTTGTCATTCCATTATATGACATGTCCAGAAAAGGCTTAGAGATGGAAAGTAGATTCATGGCTACCAGAGGTTCTGGGGAAGGGAGTATTGGGAGTAACAGCTAATGGGTACAAGTTATCTTTCTTGGGTTATAAAAATGTTCTAAAATTGGGTGGTGATTTTAGATGGGTTGAGAATCTCTGTGAATATAATAAAAACTACTGAATTATACACTTTAAAGGGGTGAATTATATGGTATATGAATTATTATATCTCAGTAAAACTTTTTTTACACAGGCAATTTTCACATTTAATCTATTTACAATGAGACTATGTTTACATATTAGTGGTATAATTTTAAAAAGAGAAAATAAGTTAATAGGTGGTTCTGGAGGTCTTTTTTAGTTCTGACATTCTAGGACCCTTTACCTTCGAGATCTCCCAGGTCCTGGGACCTGTTCTCCCCTCTCCTTTCCTCACCTCAGGGTTACTGTCCTTCAAGGTCAGCAACAGTATCATCCATTGCATGTGGAGGCAGAAGTACAAAATGTTTTTTTAGAGAATGACATCTGTGAAAGGAAAGGGGGAGGAAATAGATCTCAGAAGGGAAATGTCGTCAGATTGTGGTACAGACATCACAGAAGTCTCTGCAAACTGATCAGAAACTCTGGAGCCAGGATTTCCCACTAGAAGAGCCCAGTGTTGTGTGGAAATGGGCAAGCTCTTTGTTGCAGGTCACTAGCTGGGAGTTAAATGTGAAAAATGACTATAAAAATAGCAACTTTATTGAGATAAAATTCATATGCCATAAAATTCATCTTTCATCCAGTGGAGTTTAGTATATTCACAGAGAATGCTCAGCTCTCACCACTATATAACTTGAGAACATTTGGAGTTACACTTGACTGCTCTCTTTCTCTCATACCCTAACATGCCTCAGGAAATCTAGTCAGTGTCGTCCAGAATCTGACCTCTTGGTACCACCAAGCTCCGAGCATTCGGCTTACTTGGAGTTTTGCATTGGCAGAAATTGATTTCCCTGCTTTTGTTTTTTGCTTTCTCTCGCCCCTTTTTGGTTAGTCAGTCAGTCAGTCAGTCAGTATGTTAATCCTCACCCAAGGATATTTTCCCATTGATTTTTAGATAGAGTGGAGGGGGGGGGGGGACATCGATGTGAGAGAGACACATTGATTGGTTGCCACCTGCCCTTGATCAAGGCTCTAACCCTGAGCCAAACCAGCCAGGGCTATCCTTTCCCTTTTTAAAGTAAGTTAAGCCCGGCTGGTGTGGCTCAGTGGTTGAGCATCGACCCATGCACCAAGAGGTCGCTGGTTGGATTCCCAGTCAGGACAAATGCCCGGGTTGTGGGCCAGATCCCCAGTGGGGAGCATGCAGGAGGTGGCCAATCAATGTTCTCTCTCATCAGTGTTTCTATCTCTCCCTCTTTCTTCCTCTCTCTCTAAAATCAATTAAAAATACTTTAAAAAATAAAGTCAAATTATGTCACTTCTCTGCTCAAATCCTCTAGTGTCTTCCAGTGGCTCCCCTTCTCAGAGTAACGCCAGCTACCCTACCTGATCCGATCCCCTGCTTGCTCTCAGACCTCACCCGCTACTCCTCGGCCCCTCATTCTTAGCTGTAGTCACACTGGCCACCTTGCTGTTCCTCGGAAACACAGAGGTCCCGCTGGGGCCTTTTGTACTCACTGTTCCTCCAAATGATCTGCAAAGCTGGTATTTCACCTTCAGGGTTTTGCTCAAATGTCAGTCTACCTCAGTACTCAGTGACACCTGACCTGACTGTCCTGCTTAAAGCCGTAATGCCTTCCTCTGAAGAGTCTCCTTTACTGCTTATTTTTCTCGGCGGCACTTGCCACCATCTAAAGTCATGTGTAATTTAGTAATGTGCAGGGTAGGGCAAAAGTACATTTACAGTCGTGAGTACGTAAAACACAGTTTATTCTTGTGTTGTTATTTATTAATTATTGTATTGTTTTCCATACGAACAACTGTAAACATGCTTTCGCCCACTCTGTATTCGTCTGTCACCCCTTCACTAGAAAGTACACTCACTGAAGGGTGGGATTTTTTACGGTTTTAGTTTCCACGAATCCCTGCACCCAGAAGCATCTAGCCCTTACTGGGCCTTCAGGTACTGATGGTTGAATGAATAAATGCAGCAGGTATTTTACTAGGTTCTTATGTTCCCATAACAATCTTATGGGAGCAGGGAGTAGCCCCATGTATAAGTGAGACCCGCGTGGGCCTGCGTGAGCCTGCGTGGGCCTGCGTGGGCCTGCGTGGGCCTGGCTGTAGCTAACTCTGTGTGCCTGACTTCTACACCAGGCTGCCTTCTTCGCAGTTCTTACTAGAGCCCTTGCTCCTGTCTGAGGGAGCTTATGGCTTCAGAACCTCAGTGAAAAGAGCATTGTTGGAGACCACAGATACACCCCCTCCAATCCAGCGACCAGTCTAGAAAGAGGCCAGCACCTTGTCTCCATTTCTAGATACTTCTACCACAGGCTGGGGTGGCCATACATCTGTTCTGCAATTAATGAAAAGGAAAGAGACCCTTTGAAAAGCTGGTGAAGGGTTTCAATTTTTTATATTAGTAATATAATGTAGCCCTGGCCAGTTTGGCTCAGCAGTTAGATTGTTGGCCCGCAGTCCAGAGAGACCCGGGTTCGGTTCCTGCTGAGGGCATGTACCTCAGTTGTAGTTTGTCCTCGGCCATGGCTGGGTTGTGCAGATGGCAACCACTCGATGTTTCCCTTTCACATCGATGTTTCTCTCTCTCTCTCTCTGTTCCTCCCACTCTATCTGAACAAAAAATGGAAAAATGTCCTCAGGTGAGGATAAAAAAATATATATATAATGTACAGTATAATAGTTTCCAGTTTCTATTATTAAGGATGATACCCTTACTGAAGGCCCAGTCTTTTAGCCTGTGATTTCTAAAAATTGGTTTTGTTTTTTTGTATGTGTTCAACACTTGGACTATTGTTGCATAAATTACATGTAGAAAACTATAACGTACTTCATTGTTTTAAAAAATTGGCAGCTACTCTGGTACATAAGACGCCTGCATTTTAATGCTGCATAGTATCATTATGTTGACAGTGTAAACAAAGAAGTATCATAATTCATCATTTATTAAAAGCAGTAAGTTCAGTTGCTTAGTGAAAGAGTGGTATTTTATTATTGCTACTTAATTTTTCTTATAGGACAAAGTTCTAAAAACATCAGTTCATCTCCAAGCATTGAGAGTTTGCCTGGAGGCAGAGAATTCACTGGCTCCCCACCTTTGTCTGCTATGAAAAAGGATTCCTTCTTCAGCAACATCTCCCGCTCCCGCTCACACAGCAAAACTATGGGCAGAAAAGAATCTGTAAGTATTTAGCAACAGTTTTCTTTTTATCCTTCATTTCCCTCTAGAGTGATTGATGCATTCTTATAAAGCTCTTAAAATGTTTACAGACTAAAATGAATTATTCATCAAAAATAATTTTGTTAAAACTTTAAGGAATATTTAGGCTATGGTTTCTATTACACTGGGGCAGGGGGAATGTAGCATCAATTTAAAATAAATTAAATCCCAAATCTCAGGTCCTTTTTCCCCTACAAATGCCTTTTTGTCAAAGCCTGTGTTTTTCGTTTCTAAAATGGAGCAAATAGCATTATACCAAACAAAAGATTTAAGACACTAAAACAAACCAAGCTGTTTTTTCAGTTTCAAGTATTTCTTAAAAATTAAAAATTATTTTACCACTTGTTTTAAAAAGTTATATACATACAAACATGTTATACAAATTACCTTTAAATTGTGGTATATCGAGAGTTACGCTCTAAGAGCCTTTGTATATATTACTCAAAAGAACATATCTAAAGCCTATCAACCACTTTTAAAAAAATCCTGGTTGTGTCCGAAAAGTTTAAGCCAAATCACAAGAAATAAAACATTGAGCCACATTTTATAATTAGTTTAATAACACAATATTCAATGAAGAATTCATCTGCCCACTGGAAGATAATGCATATGTAAGGTGTTACAGAAAAGAATCTAGCTGTTGCTGAAATAGGCCTAAATTAGAAATAACTGTAAAACTTTTCAGGGATAATTATCTCTAGCACATAGACAACAACAGGGTATGTATCTGTGTGACTGCGGGACCCTGGGCAACGGCTCGTGGTGCTTCAGCCACCTCATCTGCAAACTGAATAGCATGCTTTGCCCTCCGGAGGGAAGAGTTCACTGCACACTCTCTCGGGGTCCCCTCCGTGCATGGGAACTGCGGTTCTCTGATTTGTGGAAGAGCGGAATGGAACTGTCATTTGAAGACGGCAGCTATAATGCAGGCAATTAGCTCTGCTCCCTCTTACATTCTACTCCAGGGACAGTTCCAGTAGTTAAAGATAAACCCTCGAGGAATAAGAAAACAGGAGAGAAGGCAACAGCAACACATTTCTGTTACTTGGAAAGCAGATGTTAAGTGCTAACTAACTTAGCAGCCTGAGAAAGCTGGAAGCCAAGTCAGCAGTAGGTAAAAACCCAGAAGCAACATGATTTAGATTTAATCTTCTGGAAGCTCAGGAACGGAAATGGGTAAAGGTGGTGAAGACAGGAGGATTGGTCAGAAGTCTCTTCAGGAAGCAGTTTGCTCCCCCTCCCACGCTGGCAGAGACTGGAGGTTTGCACGCCCTGGCCCTTATGGAAAGGGAGTGATGAATAGATTCAACTATGGAATGTCAGGTCCCCAGGCCTCACCTCACTTGCTTTCCAGAGTTCCAGTACGTATATCCCTCCCTGCGGGAAGAGTTTTCTCTAAGCAGAAGTCACAAATGAAAAAACACAAACTTTCTTTTTTATCCTCACCCTAGGACAGAGAGAGAGAGGGAGAGGGAGAGAGAGAGAGTGCGCGCGAGAGAGAGATGTGAAAGGGACACATTGAGTGGCTGCCTTCCGCACGACCCGACCAGAGCCGGGACGAATCGCAACCAAGGTACGTGCGCTTGACTGGAATTGAACCTGCAACTCATTGGTCTGTGGGTCAACGCTCTAACTGCTGAGCCAAACCAGCCAGGGCAAAAAAACACAAACCTTCTGACCTGAGAGATTCTTCAGGGAAATAGCCAGTTTACTCCCAGTGACCCAGTCATCCAGCCCCAGCCACACAGACCTCCCGCTTACCTTTTAGTTTACACTTATTATAGAGCGACACAGCCAAGGATCAGCAGGTTCTTGCAGAGAGCATCTGATAGTGAAACACAGACAAAAACAAATACATTTCTATGTATGTCCTGATGTTTTCCTGTGAGTGCCTGGTACACAGTCACTAAGCAAAAACAACTCAAGCTGAGCGCTGGGCATGTTATTTACCTGTGGTTAGAAAAAGCAAATAGTGATATTAGCATGAAATACCTCACTTTAAAAATATTCTTTCAAAATTCATTTTCTGAGTGGCTCTTTAGGTAAAAGCTGTTTTGACATCAAAATAATAAAATGCTATTAAAGAAAAAAACAACAGGGAGGAAACAAGTCCATGCAGGAGTAGGATGCTGCAGAAAAATATTCATTCAGAACCAGACTGTTAGAAATTAAAATATAGTATCTGTAATGTAAAACTCACAGACGAGTTGGGAGTTAAGAAAGAAAAATATGAAAATTAGAGAACCAATCCCTGAAGTTAAAAAAACAAAAACAAAACAAAACAACAAAAACAAAGTCTAGAGAGAACAGATAAAATGAAAGGAAGGAAATGGTCAAAAACGCAATTCAGTAAAGTTTTTCACTAATGGAGACCTGAGTTTTCAGATTGAAAAAGTCCATGGCACATCCCACACAGGTAAATACAAATCCACACACAGATACCTCTGACAAAGTTCAGAACTCTGGGGGCAAAGTGATATACTACAAACTTGTAGAATTAGGTGAAAAGAAAGATTCCCAACAAAGGATCAAGAATTAGCATAGCTACAAATTTCCCATAGCAACGCCAGAAACAAGACAATAGAGGAATGCCTTCAGAGCTCTGAGAGAAAATTAATTCCGACCTAGATTCAGCACTTAGCCAAGCTAATTAAATGTGAGGGTAGAATAAAAGCACTTTCCGACATTAAAGATTCAGAAAATGTGTTCCCGTGCACCTCCGGCTCTGCTGGAGGATGTGCTCTGCAGAAATGAGGACGTATGCTGAGGATGAGCACCACATGAGAACCAGTTAAGAGATTATCCAGAGCAAGACCAAAATATCCCCCAGCATGATAATGCAGGGAGAGCCCCAAACTCTATAACACAGCTACTTAGCAGCAGCCATCCCAGATTAGAGCAAGTTAGACAGTTCCAGAAAGTTTTCTCCAAAAAGATGAAACTGTTAAAAATAATGTATTTGGCCCTAGCCAGTTTGGCTCAGTGGTTGGAGCATCGGCCTGCGGTCCAGAGAGACCCGGGTTCGGTTCCTGCCAAGGGCATGTACCTCGGTTGCAGTTTGTCCCCGGCCCTGGTTGGTCGTGCAGGTGGCAGCCACTCATTGTGTCCCTTCACATCGATGTTTCTCTTTCTCTCTCTCTCTTCTTCTCTCTCCCTCCCGCTCTATCTGAACAAAAAATGGAAAAATGTCCTCGGGTGAGGATAAAAAATAATAATATATTTGAACAAATTGAGAACTTTATACTAGTAGAGGTGAGTTTGGGTTTAAATTAGTGATAACTTTAGAAAAAATAAGCCAGTAAAAAACAGGACAATCAGTAACCCCAAAGAAAAACAAACTACAGGAAAAGAAAGATTATGATAAACCTTGTAAGTGAGCCATGACTGTAATTTGCATAGACATTGTACTGTAAGCCTGTTGACTATTAATCTAGTCAAAATCATGATAAAATTTATTTGGGAAGCAAGGGTATGGGAGCTGTGTGTTTGTGTGCAGAGGGGACAGGGCAGGTGATGGTGGCTATTAGAGCTAAATCCTCACCGTCCACAGCGGAAAATCTGTATACTACTCTAGAACAGCGATTTTCAACCTTTTTCATCTCGTAGCACACATAAACTAATTACTAAAATTCTGCAGCATACCAAAAAATATGTTATATTTTTTTCTGATCTGACAAAAATAAAATAGAGGTATAATTTTGATTGATTTACCAATAATAATAAATAATGGTAGTAGTAGTAATTACCTACCCTTTTTGCTCCAAAGTAACTTTTTAAAAAATTATGTGCCTATACTTGTATATAAGGATTTCTGGTACCAGGAATTAACCAATCAGATGCAACCTTATTATATGATATGACCAATAAGATGCATTTCTGTTATATGACTTATTTATGGTTCAAGAAAGGGCATTCACACTGGACAGTTATTGTTGTGTTGGCTGTTATTTTTTTTTTATTTGACAATTTAAGGGAAAAGAGGTCAGTGCTGCTCACTAAATAGTCATTACAATAGGTATTACATGTTTTAAAAATTCTTGTGGCACACGGGTTGCAAATCGCTGCTTTAGAAAAATCAAGAAGTAACAATATAAGCTAGAGTGCAGAGATGGGGAAAAATGAGTAAAAGAATTGAAAGTGGTTACTTCTAGAGAGCAGGAAGTGGAGGGTGGGGCTGTATGAACTGTTTTTCATAACAAGCCTTGTAGAACCATTTGACTCTTCAAAGTGTTACATATATAACTTAGATTAAAAATAATTTCAAATTACAACAAAATGGAACGTATTGACATAATAAATTAGAAGAGGAGATGCTGCCTGAACCAAGAACATGCCTAGGAAGAGTCAGAACAGGGAACAACAGTGAGAAGGGCACCGGAGAGGTGTTCCATGTGCCTCATCACGTCGTGATGGCATTTGGATCATTCCACAGCACCAGGTGATCACTTTTCTTCATGGTGATGCTGTGACTTAAGACAGAAGTGGAGCAAAAATGGAAATAGAGTAAGTCTAACCCTCTGCACAGGCCTGCTGTGAAAGAACCAGAATGCCAACTTATTCTCCAGAATGTAATGTATTTCCTAACTTGAGGGAAGTATGTAGGCAGAAATTCCCAAGAGAAAGCTCATGATTTTCCAAGTAATGGGGTTAGCTTATTATTATTTTATGAAATAATGCATTGTAGTCTGTGCTCTTCACCAAAAATTCCAGTTTTCCTCCATTCTAGGCAGTTGATAGGATGGTACCTCCTTGTCCCCTGTGATCTATCAGAGCCATGTGACCAGTGAGCTGAGTGGAAGAGATATGTATGCACTGTTACTCTAATCCTCCAGCCCGCTCTTCCCTCTGTCACCATGAGCAGAGCCCATCTGCTAACCCATGATAGACATGAAGTATGAATGAGAAATAAACTCTTATTAATTTAAGGTGAGAGTGTTGCTCATCACAGCTTAACAGTACAC